AAGTATCTTCCTGCTTAATACATCACTGCTGTGGAATGGTTTTCATAACCAAAATTGAGTCATTACTCCGTCAGAAAAGCAACCTGGTGAGATTTATCTGTGCTCTTTTAATCAGAGGACCCTGTCCCCCATGCAGCAATGTGGGTTTTTTGGAAGTCACTCAGATATTGATGGAAATATTAGATTTTTGTTGCCCACGTGAAATCTTTTCATGTCTTTGTTATTTCCTCTGGCACAAGGATTTACTGAAGCCTATGGGGACTTGGTATTTAGCAAAGATTGACAGCACAGGAAGAGTGAGAATGGTCAGTAATAAAACTTGCATGCTGATGAGTTTCACTGCATAATTTTTTCTTTAAACCCTACACACGGAAGGGGACTCCAATTACTCCTTACTCAGCACTCCTGGTGAATGATACAGAGCTGCTTAATTGGTCTGCCTGCCCCAGAGCTCCTACAGCACAGCCCCATCCACAGCCTGCCACACCTGGACCAACACACGACTCGGACCTGTGCACACCCAAAGCAGCACTCCCGGAGGTTCTCTTCCAGACTCTGCAATCTCAGTCAGTGTTTCCCACTTCTTCTACTTCAGTATATTCCCTAAAGATATAATTTGTAAGTTTAGAGTTTTTTTTTTTTGTTGTTGTTTCCCAGTGTTTTTAACTGCACTCCTGATTTCCTGTGGCTCCTGTAGAGCACAATGCCAGATGTAGTTTTATGAATGCCCATGCCAGCACACAGCTCCAGCACCTGTGGCAACGTGCACATTTCCATCTATCCTACCCACAAACTACAACCACCACTGTGCTGATACCACATTTGCTGCACACATTACACCTTCCAGTATAACCCTGTTCATCTGTGTCACTTGACACACATTGCACACAAATGGAAATCTACCACACCAGCTGGTGGTCCTTCTCTTCTCCAGAGACACAACTTCTCACCAAATTCAGGGAAAACCTCCCTAGACTAGTAAAGGCAAAGAACTAAATATTTCATTTACTGGATTGGGGATTAGGAAAAATAGCCTATTGTATTCTAAGCCTC